TTATTTGTGTAGCTTAGACCTAAGTCTTTTATAGTGGATCGTTCTAAAAGTGCGTCGATAGTTCTAAAAGACTATTTATTGGGGTGAGGAACACCAGTTCAGCTGTATATTACGTTCTCTGTATGGAACAGTTTAACAATCGTTTACTTGTATTTGAGATATTGTCTCCCTTAAAAGGATAAAAATATAAAAACGGGCCTTTTCGGAACCGACCGGTCCGCAGATTTCGACCGTAAATGGCTGCCATATTTTTGAATGAATCGTAGGTTAGAGCTACATTTAAGTGGGGCCTCTTTTATGCAGGCGATCTCTGCAGGTAGGGTCTCACTGGAGCAAATATTCTTAGCTCTCTGAAAGAGTGAGTACCAGATTTCATTTTCGCTGTGTTGGCACGAAAATGGCAAAATGTATGTAATTGGCCTTTCCAGGTAGTCTTGTGGAAAACATTAGACTCATTGAACAATCATCCTCACTGAGCAGGAGGACGTCTAGGGAGGCCAACTTGTTTTTCTGCTCCATCTCTATCGTAAATCTAATCTTCGGCTGCAATTTGTTCCAACAACGAAAAAGAGTTTCGGCGTCCTTTTCGTATCAACAAAATGGAACGTATCATGCTCGTATTGTCTGTATATTGTTGTCTTATTAAGTTTCGATGACACGTTTTCTTCTAAGTGACCCAAAGAATTTCGGCGAAGGTATTCAGTTTCACAGCCTCAGAATCATACGAGAAAACTCATCGTCCGCATTCCGCGCGCGTGATCCCCAGAGGCCTTACACTATCTGTTCGGAGCAGGTGAATTCCAGATTACATCACTAAGGAGTCATCCGCTGCCTCAGTCAATAGGTTTCTGTCCGAGAGATAACGTTTAGAGAGAATTCACGCATATGGATTTTGACTTCGTCAATCTTATAAAGTACGGCCTAAGCGGAATTTCATATTTCGGGATGGCTTTGAGTTCCCTGGCTAAAATTGGCCTTGCGCTTGGACTGGCCACTGCTTAGCGTTTAACGTTGTTTATGATGTTTGAAATCGCATATGCAGGAAAAATGATACATTTTGGTTATTTTTAGTAAGAGAAACATAATTCTTCGCACTTCGTTTAACTTTATCCGATCGACCTTGACGAGCCTATTTGACGCACTTTTTGACGTACTTTTTTAAAAGATGTACATTAGGTCAATGGTCATTGATGGCTTCAAGTCTTACTGTCAGCGCACAGAAATACCAGGATTTGATGTGCAGTTCAATGCTATTACCGGGTTAAATGGTTCTGGGAAGTCAAATATATTGGATGCTATATGCTTTCTCCTTGGCATAACAAACCTTTCACAAGTACTCATTTTGCTATTTTAAGCTCATATTCCGAACCAGGTCAGAGCAACCAATCTCCAGGAATTGGTTTATAAGAGTGGACAGGCTGGAATAACAAAGGCCACAGTCAGTATTGTATTTGACAACACAGACAAATCCTCTTCTCCGTACGGTTATGAGCAGTTTGACGAGCTCACTATCACTCGCCAGGTAATGTTCGTGAAAATTATCGCAGGCTTTAGATTGTTGTTGGTGGCAAAAATAAATATCTGATTAATGGGACGAACGCTACAAACACACGTGTCCAGGACTTGTTTCATTCCGTGCAACTGAACGTCAACAATCCACACTTTTTGATTATGCAAGGTCGCATCACGAAGGTGTTAAATATGAAACCACCCGAGGTTGTACATTTCGACCAATATTATTTTTAGATTCTGTCACTACTAGAGGAAGCCGCCAGTACAAAATTGTATGAAACAAAAAAGGAGGCCGCGCTGAAAACAATCGAAAAAAAGGACTCGAAGCTGCGAGAAATTGATAGAGTCTTGAGAGAGGACATTACTCCCACCATTAGAAAACTTCGAGAAGAGCGAAGCAGCTACCTAGAATATCAAAAGGTGGTCCGTGAAATTGAACACTTGACGAAGTTCACCGTTGCATATGACTTTGCCTGTCTCGAAGAAGCAACACAACGGACAAAGAATGATTTGCTGAAACTAGAAGCTCGGGTTAACGATAAAAAACAGAAGGTTGAACAGCTCAACGGCGAAAAAGCAAAATTAGAACAAAACCTTCGCGAGCTAACAGAAGAACATAACAAAGTTGGTTTTCTTTATTTCACTTCGTAGCCCCATGTTACTACCTTCGATGTGAATGTTAACATTGTGTTATGGCTTTAGTTGCAAGGCCCCGCTCTTGAAGAAGCCGAAGCCATCATGTCGACGTGTCAGAAAGCTGAAGCGGTTGCATCGGGGGCGTCATGTCGCGCAGCCGAGAATCTGAAATCCACTCAAAGGCGGCTACACTCCCTCGGG